CCGGTGAGGCGGGGCCCGGGGGCGGCGGCCGTTTAACGGCGGTTTAACGGCCGCTTCGCGGCGCTCTACTAGTGAGGGCGCCCGCTCTCAGTGATTGTTAGTTGCCTACGGAGAGGTGAAGTTGAGAAAGGCGAGGCGGGGAGTGAGAGTGAAGGAGCAACGCAGCTGCTGAGGAAACTGCATCTCGCCGAGTTTTTTTTTTTTTTTTTAGGAAAAATATAGCAAAACTAAGAATAAAAAGTCTGAATGCTACACGTGTGCTGTTACTTTGAGCATGTTTTCTAGGTTGATATCTGCAGCTTTATTTACTCTGGGTTTGGACAAGTGAATGTTCCTGGGGGCAACACGTTCCCCCTCTCCCCACCCGTCTTTTTTTTTTTTTTTTTTTTTTAATAGCATTTTGCTAAATATGAGTATGTGGGGGAAACCATTGCAATTCATGTGAGTGCAGTGGTTTGGAAATCCAGATGGAGAATTCCCTGATTTAGCGGCCTCCGCAGCAGTGCTGTGCTCCAGGTTTATGTAGGTCAGGATGCAAAAAGGGCCGGCACTAGGCATGCTTTACAGCAGCTGATTTTGCAAGCTATGTGATAAGACCATTTGGGATCTGAGGTTGCTTGCTCTTTAACAAAAAGTGTTTTTAAAACATAAACAAATCAGATAGCTTAGACCAGCCATTAAACACTCCTATGTGCATCTAAATAGATCTCCTGGTCTGCAGGACTCCTCAGTGTTCGAGGTGGTTTTATCAGTAAAGATCCAAACCAGAAAAGTTAAATTCATATGCAGAGTACATGAGATTGCACAGCTGACAAAGCCTACATGATACAGCACTTTCAGGGTAGGTCTGTTATTGAAAGGAGAGATGTGACTCATTTGCCCTTTTTCCATTCCGCATGTGTAAAAGGAAAGTTAGCAGTGGCTATTATACCTAGCAAATGGAGGAAAATATTTCTTTTGTTATCTTCCAAAGTCCCTTTCCCTTTACATATGAGACCACCAGGATAGTAACTGCAAGCAGTTACACTGTGGAGTAGATATTAAACATTAACACTCATTTGTTGTGCAATGTGTCCTTTGACCAGCATGTGGAGATGTGTCCATGCACTTGAAGATAACATTAACACACCTAGCAGAAGTCTGACACGGAAAAGCATTTTGGTGTGACTGGCCTAATGCATGAAATAATAAACATGTAAGGCATGAAAACAACATATAATGCTGTTCCACAAACCTCCCCTTCCTTCTGTAATAGACATAGCCATTTCATTTAAAATAATTATTTTAGTGCTAAAATCAGATTACTGATAATTAAATAATCCAAATGTATCTTGAAGTTAAGTATAAACCGATTTTTTTTTCCTTGTGGCCTGTCTAGATAAGTTTTCTTTTCTGTGCCAGATAAGCCGTACCATGTCTGTCATCATGCCTTGAGAAAGCCTCTTCCTTCAAAAGATACACAAGTGGTGGCAAGGAGGGAGTAGAGAGACATCAAAATAACTTCGTTTCCATATATCTCTAATTCGCATACATATATCAATAGATATATATCAACAGATGAGCCTATGGATAAGCTCTGGATGCCTCAACATTTCCAATGTCCATTGTAGTACTCTTTACAAATGTAATTTGCACTGAAAGTGAGAAAAGGAAGCCTAAATGTTCAGCAAAGGAATTTATCCCTGCTAAGCACATTAGCACAGAGGTCTTCCTCTTAGAATTGCACAGCCTTCTCATTAGTGGACGTAACAAGCTGGAAAGTATCTTCAGTTGTATTGTCATTATTAAAACAGCAATGCCGGGCTACTCCCTGGTGACTGCTCTCTTTGTAAATTGTACCCCAGTTAATCACTTGTTCAGACCACACAAAACTGAAAAAGTTACATATAGTGTTAATGAGTGTATACTTTGTGTGAGAAATTGCTAGCTGAGATGAAAAGCCTTTGTGTTTAATGATTCTCCTTAATTAAGGAAAGGCTGTAGAATGCAAATAACCTTACAAAAAAGCCAGGGACAGACTTTTGATGCAGTTTCAGCTTTCCATTTCATCCTATGTTCTTCCAGTATCAATACTTGGGTTGTTAGGGAATTACTGAAAGCACCTATGTAGACAGCCATGCACACATACATACAGAATATGTGTGGTTTATTTGCTCTATTGTTTTATAGCTAAGAGCATGTTTTAGTTCTCTGTCTGCCTGTTCTGCTCAGAGTTGTGATTCTTGTACTTAGTAGTAAGCACAATTATTTATTAATTGACGGGTACATGGTGAAAAAGATGAGCAGTTTTTTGACCTATTTGTGAAAGTATCTCACTGCATAAATGCTAGATCTAAAATATATTTCAACTTTCAACTCAAGACACTTTTTTAAGGAATCCGTTTAAGGAGCATCTGAGCATTTGTACTTCTGCTAACACTGCAAGAACAAAAACCTGCAATACTCCGTTGTACTGATACTCCAAGGGTGGCTGAGGTAGCCACAAGGATGACAGAGGAAAAGAAAACAGAAAAGGAGCGAAGAACAACCATGAACCTGCACGGGGAGAGCACAACGTGGGGAACAAGCTGACGTGCGCAGTGGGTGTGCAGCTCTTGCGCTCACTGTCCAAGATCCCCAAACCCCCCCAGAGAGCAGCTGGCACTCAGAGCGACCACCGTGTCCCTGCAGTGCAGCCAGAGTCACACAGCAAGTGCCTGGGCATCCGCAGGTTGGGGTTGAGGATGCTGAACATTCTCCAACATCCTACACAGAGGGCTGGGAATGCAGACCCTTCCCGCATGGAATATGTTCTCTTCCTACTGGAATGGCATTTTGCACTAGTATTTGAATTATTCTATTATACTCTTTAACGGCACCAGGAGATTCCCATGTGCTCTTGTGTTTTTTCATGCCATTCTGTTCACAGGGAGTTGGTTTCAGTGTTGGATGCTAGGACACCACCCCCCATGTCATTAAACAAGGCTTTTGGTCAGGCAGAAATCCTGATGTTTGATTGTGCTTTTACAGAAATACGACATCAATCCTTGAGCCAGTTCTGCCCTGCAAAGCCCAACTCGAGCACACACTGAACCTCAGCTTATAAAATAGCAGCTCCAAGTGGCGCCACATGCTGCTGATTCTGACATGACACTGTGGCTTTGCATGGCAGGATGATGAAGCACCCTAAAATTAGCCTTCTTACTATTTGGTAAAGAGCACGCAGAAAGGTAGCAGCCGGCGCGAGGAGAACAAAGAGGCCGAGGGCAGCAGCAGGACGGAGGCTCACGGAGGCAGGGCACGGCGCTTCATGGTGAGCACCCCTGGCTTCTTTGCACGTTTCCAGGTTCGACCTTTTTGTGTAATTTCCGCTCCTGGTGCAGAGTGACCCGATTGTGAAAGAGGAAGGATGGTGCTGGCGTAATGGAGAAGGGATCTGCTCTCTCAGGGGGCTTGTGACAATGTGGGGAAACAAGAGAGAGGGTCGGCTTTCCGAGGTGAGGTATTGGGGGTATTAAGCCACGGCCTGAAGCTTTGATTTATGGAACAGAAAAGGGAATGGAGGGAAAAAAAAAAAAAAAAAGTACTGGTATGGAAACCAGAGACACCGTGATAAAGCCCCTGCTCTCTGCTAAGCCAGACTAAATTTTTACTGACAGCCAGCTCGCTCTCCAGCTCCATTTTTACCTGATAAAGCCCTTGGCTTACAAGGGTGTGATTTTGAGAAAAAAAAAAAAAAAGAAAAAAGAAAACCTCAAGGCGGGTGGGAAGGTAAGCATGGATGTGTTTGGGCATGGGAACAGAAACAGAGAAGGAAAAGGTGCTAGACCAGGACAAGACTTGCAGATGAGAAAGAAGAAAACTGTGTGGAAAGCTTTGTATATGAGAGAGCAAAGCAGCATAAGGGGAGCTGCTGCTGGGGAAGAGGACACAGCTTCCCCCTCAGGAAGCACAGCGCTGGCCTGCCCCAGCTGCAATAGCTCGGGGCCCCGTGCCCAAAAGATTGCCAGGATATATGGAGTTCTCCATGTCTGTGATAGGAGACCCCCGAAGAATAGATGGGGAAAAAATAAGTAACTCTGAGGCATAAACTGTGACTGACAAATTCTCACTAAATTCTGCTCTTTCTGCTGGTGGTTAACTCTCAAAAATATGGGAATATTTTGGAAAAAAGATAA